CCCACGGACCCAGAGGGGCCACCCCAGGCACAGGGCCCCGGCATCTCGCGGGGAGCGCTCTAGGGTGCTGTGCGCAGGGCGGGCAGAGGCCGCGTGTCTCCGGTGATTAATGAATGGCATTTGCAGATGTGGCCGCAAAGTCGTCATGAAACGGAGCATCCGGGCGTGACCACGCTGCTGATTTCCTTACCAGAACATTCCTTTAAAAATATCCCATGAGTCATGCCACACGGCCCAGCAGTGTCCTCTCCCCCAGTGGCTCCGCCAGCCGCGGGCACGACCGCTCATGCCTGACCCTGTGTCCTCGCTTCGGCGTCCCTTCCGGCCCTCCCCGCACTGCCTGCCCCTCGCCGGCCTTCCCGGAGCCGAGTGTCCCTTCCAGGTCCCTGAACGTCGATGCCTGTTCCTCCGAACCTTGCACTTTCCTCGTGTAGCGTCTCGGCTTCCCACGTAGCCTGGCGGCCCCAGGACGCGGCGGCCGCGAGCAGAGCTCGGGGGGTGAAGGTCTGGCTGCGGAGACCCCGCGAGGGCACGGCGGCTGCGACGGGATTTCCGGACCCCGCTCTGCCTTCGGGCAGCGGCAGGCCCATCGTCGTCGTCTTCATCGTCAGGACAACCTCCAACTGCATCTCAACAGACTTGGCCCAACAGATAACCAGGCGACAGCGGACGGGACCCTGAGCACGGGAAAGGCAGCATGGAGTAGCCTGGCCCGTGTGAGGACGTGTGTGCACGTGTGTGCCCGTGTGTGCATGTATGTGTGAGCACCGGGGCCGGAACTACTGGCGCTCCTGGAAGATACACTGGCGAGTGGAGGGCTGGGCCGGAGGGACAGAGGCCGCGCGCTGGAGCGACCAGCTGTCTTGTGGGCAAGCGGCTGAGCCGGGGTCCGTGAGAGGCGCGGAGCAGGGGAGCAAAGGAAACCGACCCGCGCCCCCACCTTCGCGGGGTTACAGTCCAGGCTGAGACCAGCCGGACCCTCAGTGGGGAAGGCGTGTGAGGAGGGCGGGAGGAGCCACCTGATTTACTCGCAGGGAGCTTGGGCGGAACCTGTCTGTGGTCCCTGGAACGTTTGCCCCAGAAAAGTCAGTGCTGACCCCAAAGCGGCCTGTGCACAGGCAGCTCAGAGGGGGGGAAGCCTGCCCGCCTTCGATCCACCGACAGCCTC